CCGCCAACAACAACAATGAATCATCAACAAGGGCGAGGTACATTCACCACCGCACCGCAAACTTCTCAACAGTGTATGTTACAATTTCTTTGAGGATTTTTCAGAAAAGTATTGTTGATAGCCTTCGAATAATTAACACCATATAAAGAGAAACCTCGGGCGTTTTATTTGGAGTATATTTATTTGAAAGCATTTCAATCGTAAACGCACATGCATGGGATTACAATCAGGGTGCTACTTGCTCTAGTTATATAGCTAGTTGTTCTAGTTCCCGAGCTAGTTGCTCTAGTTCTAGAGCTAGTTGTTCTAGTGCTAGTGCTACTTGTTCTAGTTCTATAGCTAGTTGCTCTAGTTCAATAGCTAGTTGTTCTAGTTCTAGAGCTACTTGCTCTAGTTCTAGAGCTAGTTATTCTAGTGCTAGTGCTACTTGTTCTAGTTCCAGAGCTAGTTGTTCTAGTTCCAGAGCTAGTTGTTCTAGTTCTATAGCTAGTTGTACTAGTTCTAGTGCTAGTTGTTCTGACAACGGGCCGCAGGCGTAGACATAAAACGCGAAACCACAGTCATGCTCATACATATGGGACTAAACTTACAATAAAAGATTAGTATAAAATACAACAATTTTTTCTAAAAAAACACGTGGAACCAATATCAGTATAAAGTACTGTAAACGGTTACAATGGTTTGTCTTGGAAGTCACCCGAGACGAATCGGCGTGCGTATATCATGCTCCCTCTACCTCGATCCTCCGCTCCTGCTTCTCTTCTGCGGCATTCCTCTACCAGGGTGTAGGAGAGATCCTCGCACTACGTCAAGAGAAAGATTTTTCATATAAATAACTATGAGGAAAAATATGACATCGATTAATGACATAATAAGTGGAATGATTTTCAAATTAATCTAACATGTAAGCTTAAGAGCAACGTTTACGAAACGTGAAATAAAATAAAAAGTGAATTTTTACTTATGAAAAATTACTTTTTTACTTGTGAATTTATGCTTGCATAGCCGAGGCAATTCTCGGCTGTCCTTATAACATTACAGTAACCAGCATAGAAAAATGTGGATAATTTAAAAAAAACTATATTTCGATATATATTATTATATAATCAATGATACGTCCATTGGACGTCTATATATCCAATTTCAGGGAGTTTTGTGATACGGAAACTAGTAAATAAATAAATACCTTTGTTCTTAGCAGTTCCTTTAATCGGAGTGGTGGCCCATCAGCGATTCTCCATGGAAATGTCAATATCAAGTCTAATGTATAAATAAACACATCCGTATTAGTATATTATCACTAAGATTAATAACTCTTGATATATATTATTATATAATCAATATTTTAATTATCAATAATTTATATATATAGTATTATATATATCATATTAATTCATATACAATAATATATAATTAATTCATTATATCCAATTTCAGGGCGTTATGTGATGCAGAAACTAGTAAATGAACAAATACCTTTACTCTTAGCAGTTCCTTGAACCGGAGAGCTGTCGTAGGAGGCATTGTGAGTCATCAATCATTTACCTGATAAGTGTATATACATATATTATATTATTTATTTATTTATTTATTTATTTATACTGCTAATGCAGGATTCTGCTGTACTGGCGTAAACTAATATATAATCAATGATACGTCAATTATATCCAATTTCAGGGAGTTTTGTGATACGGAAACTAGTAAATAAACAAATACCTTTGTTCTTAGCAGTTCCTTTAATCGGAGTGGTGGCCCGTCAGCGATTCTTCATGGAAATGTCGAAATCAAGTCTAATGTATAAATAAACACATCTGTATTACTATATTATCTCTAAGACTAATAATTATTGATTTATATTAATATCTAATCAATTATTATATCAATATGTTAATTATCAATAATTTATATACATATAATATTATATATAATATATAATTAATTAAAATATTAATATATCAATTATATCCAATTTCAGGGTGTTATGTGATGCGGAAACTAGTAAATGAACAAATACCTTTACTCTTGGCCGTTCCTTTCGAGAGCTGTCATCTGAGGCATTGTGAGTCATCAATCATTTACCTGATGAGAGTATATATATATATATACTAAGTTATTTTTATTTATTAAGTTATTAATTTATTTATTTCTATTTCTATTATCTTTAATAATTCTAATATAAATTTAAAACAATAAAATTTGGATAAAACATTCACATGCATCATTTACCTTATTGCTACTACTGTATTAATACTTACACATCATTCGGTCCACAAATGCGGCGTGTGCGCAACCGGAATAACCTGAAATATAAAATCACATAAAACGTTGTCAGATTATGGCTGCTCGAGAAATACCATGTCACACATGAATTCACAGCTTCACCAGCCACGTGACCAAAATGGCTTCTTTACTACATTTAATACACATCACATCCGCATGTATATAGCCTATCCAGTAAAAATAACGCGCACGCACGCACGCTGTCTGACACGCGCACAAT